TCGATTTCTAGTCGACAAACGCCTCTCCCAACTGTTCGATATTCGATCTAGCATTCGACAAAGTTGTATCCTGTTGCCTACTCTGTTCAACTACGCTATCGACTGGGGTTTCGAATGTGCTCTGCGCGACCTTGACGGCGTTTAATCCGTACCCAGGCGTCGGTTTGCTGGTTTCGACAACGTTGATGATGTCCCTCTCCTAGAGTTAAGTTTTAATGACCTACAGAATGCGGTGTACCTGGTGAATAGAGTGGCCAAATTGATCGTTTGGCTATAAACTAGGAAGACCGGAGTGCTTTCGACCCGCATCCCTGACCAGAAGGTACCCCTTAACATTAATTCCCGCCAACTTGAAGTACGTAGTTTCAAATACTTGAGAGCGAGCCTATTACCTCTTATTGAGAAATGACACCGGATCTGGTGAATTAGAACTGAGAGCATTGAACGTTATGCGCTAACTAATTTGCCTAGATACGGTAAACTCTTCACGAATGAAGGCGAAATTTCGAGTTCCAGATGTATGCATAAGTGAAGGAGAAGAGTCGAGCAAGCGAACACTTAGTTTATTGTTCTGAGCTTTCAGACTCTCACTTCGGCCAATCCTTGCCCTAAAAGGCAGTCCCACCTACAATTTGGCAAAATGGATGTACGCAAAACTGAAGTCCCTTCAAGGCAATTCGACTATTTCAGTTCGATCAGCCTCTCAATTCCTCATAGACCTCAAAGGTCAGAGGATTCGATCGGACGAAATCATGGTCTCCTTCGATGTGACGTCGTTATTCAGATCCATCCAACCAAACTTGGCCCGCGAAGTTTTGCGCAAGAGACTTGAAGAGGCCTATGATGAGACTCAGAATGCACTCAAAATTGAAAACCTCATGAGGATATTGAATTCTGCCAAAAAACTTTCTTCACTTTTGCGGGAGACCTACGAACAAGTCAAGGGAACCCCAATGGGCTCACCGGTCTCCGGTTCAGTGGCAGAACTGGTCCTACAGGAGTTAGAAAAGATTGCCTTCATGCAACATGAATCGGGGTTTTGGCGCCGTTACGAAAACGACACGTTCGTCATCGTAAAGGACATGCTGCAACACTCCTACAGCCTGCCCAACGCAGCCTTCCCTGGTATAAAACTCACGAGGGAAGAAGAACAGGAACAGCAGTTACCCCTCCTGGATGTGCTTGTCAGACGAAACCTTAACGGTTAACTTGAAACGACGGTTTATTGGAAGGCAACGAACATCACACAGCTTCTCAGTTTTCACAGCAACCATCCGGTGGCTCACAAACGAAGCTGTGTGAAGACGCCCTTCAAACGGGTCCAAACTCATCACAGCAAACCAGAGGACAGAGCACGTGAGACCCGTTATCTCCGCAACCAGTTTTGCAGAATGGCTATCCGAGGGCATCCATTAGTCGCTGCCTACGCGGTCGCCAGCAGAGAACTCGAACATCAACGCCACCGACGATATGGCATTCTCTGTCATACATCAAGGGTGTTTCAGAAGCGACCGAGCGCATTGCTGTGGAACTAGGTGTTGGAGTTACACACCAACCCAGAGCCACCATGCGCAATAGGGTCATGAAAATCAAAGACCGGTTAAAGCCTGAAGAGCAATCTGGATTAGTTTATCGCATTCCGTGTCAAAATTGTCCTTGTAACTACACAGGACACACTGGGCGTATGCTCGGATCGCGCATACACGAACATAGGCTGGCTGCGCGACGAGACGACGCATTATCACAAGTGGCCGCCCACACCTATGAAATGGGTCACGAGTTTAACTTCGTAGCCACCAAAATTGTCGCCCACGCCGGAAACAAAACAGGCCGAGAATTCATTGATGCCTGGGCCTCGGATGAGTACTCGGCCAATCGATTTATCGATCCGGCGCCGGCGTACAGAGCCCTGCATAGTCATCTCCAGTCTTGCGCCGTCGGTTGATGATTGGCCTACATGCATTATAACTGTCGCTTGTTCGATTATTGCTACTACCTCTGAAGATGGACTCCTGTACGAGGCTGAAAGATCAGGACAATAAGCAGTGTTCCGGTGCTCGACTCTACTTCTTCACGGTAAACTCTTTGGTGGGAAGTTTTACCAAATGCTCTCGGAAACTATTTTTGCAATACTGGAGACGAGAGCTAGGTCTCAACAAAATCGGTTAGGAAGGTGTTTGTGTCTCTATAGATTTGGACACGTTATGTGCATTCGCTGTGGAAATATGGACAGCTGACCTACAGCAGCCTCCCCGGCGGCGTCTCTACATATTTGCAGTATCTATATTTCATTGGAAACTGGAAGAAGCTGCTCCACCATCCATCTTTGTTTCTCGTGTAATGTGAGTGAGAACTTGTACTATGGTTATCGTAGTATGCGATTTGTGGTTCCTTGCTGATGTGCGGCATTTTAGGCTTAAGTCCACCAGAGACAATATATGAACCGCAACCTACTACGATTGAGCGAGTCCAACACTTCCAAACTTTATAAGAGGTAAACGATGGGCAGACTGGATCATATATGTGATAGGTGACAACACCGCTGACGAAAATTTGGATTTTTCCCTACATGAGAGTTCAACGTCAGTTTCTTCGCAAAGGGAGATTCTGACCCAGCTAATATTTTATGGAGTAACAAAGCTAAGTTTCTGGATAGACGGCCTGCTCAGGGAAGACGTATGGTCAGAAACAGTCCGCGTAAAGAACTAATTGGTTGCTCGAGTATTGATTATATAAATTAGTTGAGGGCTAGAATGCTTATCGTGGACAGCAGAACGGTAATTGTGCAGTGTGTTCGGGGCGTTATCTATGAAGATTCGAGACACACTGTCCAGCGCTTCAACATAATCCCACAAAAAAAAACAGGGAACTCACGCCCAGCACGCGTGCGCGAGACACCGAAAACCGCGCGCGGTAAGTCTCTTAAACAAAACTGGTAGTCGGTTTAGGGTTAAGCGTGAGAATCCGAAGCTAATTAGAGACTCCGGACACCATTTTTTCTATGAACTGCGTAGGCCATGCCACCTAAACACCACTCAAATTCCCATTGCGATATCGCAGAAAGACCTCGATCCTTGTATTCAATCCAATCTGGAACCACTATTGCAACTCGTCCAGGCAGCAAAACAGACCACAGTGTGTCACATGCTGTCAAAGGGATGGTTATAGCTATATATAAAGATGTTTTTAGCAACGTTTATGGTGCTTTCGATCCACCCCCCCCCCATTAGAATATGGCCTAAAAGCATAAAACCCATAGCTTGTAGAGGTAAAAGTGCGTGATAAGCTGCAGCGTCTAACGACAAAACAGACAAAAGGCCTAACAAACCAATCTTGCAAAAAGACGGCAGAAGCGTCTTTATTATTGTGACGGGCAGCAAAGTGATGAATTTTGATTGGTTGATAAAATAGAGCATCGCGTCAGACAAAGACTACGCTTTGAGGACAGATTTCAGTAGTACCTCAAGCCCCCTCTTCACGTCCACTCGGAGAAATTTCACATAAATAAGCTCAGGCTAAATGTTTGGTCCGAATAACTCGCGCTTAATAAGTCGGTATTATATTATAAGATAGCGCGTCCGCTTTATAAAGAAAACCGCAACTTAATCTCAATAAAGACTGGTGTAGTGTAATCCAGGTGACGAACTTCCATGGGCAAGTACCAATCGGGCTTGGCCTTGAGGACGTAAGTTAGAGGTTTGTGCTCGACGTGAACCCGAAAACCTCTGCCCTCTAAAAGGTGCGGAAAATGACGATTGGCCAAGTGGATGACAAGACGCTCGCAAGAGAAAGTACTGTAGCGAGTCTGCGCGGGTTGGAGCTTCTGTGAAAAGAAAGCTCATCGCCGCAAAGGATTATTCACCTGTTGATGAAAGACTGCATCGACAGCACTACTGGGAGCGTCAGTAGTCAAAATCAGCTGTGCTTGCGCTTCGGGACTGAGATGATAAAGCATTGTGATATCAACAAGGGCTTTCTTGGCTGCCTTAAAAGTTGTGTGGGCTTCCGGTGAAAGTTCAATCGATTTCGTCTTAGACTTCAGAATATCACTCAAGGGAGCTAGAGTCACCGCACAGTTGGGGATGAACCGTTGGTAGTAACTGATGAGACCTATGAAACGCCGCTGCTGCGTAAGTGTCTTCGGAGCAGGAAAAGAAAAGACGCTCTGCACCTTCTCTGGAGGTGGTGTGATTCAATGCAATCAACGTGGTGACCAAGGAAATGGAAAGAGGCGACGCCAAAGACACATTTGTCGACGTTCAGTTGCAAACCATGTTGCTGGAAACGATCAAATACCTGGCGCGTATGCGATGTGTGCCCCTCCAGCGAAGAGCTTGCAATGAGTATATTGTCGATGTAGACAGTGGTGAACGAGAGACCACGCAAGACCTCATCGATAAAACGCTATAAGGATTGGGCCGAGTTGCGCAAACCGAAAGGCATGCGAAGAAATTCAAACAGCCCGAAAGGTGTTGCGGTGGCAATCTTGAGGATGACGTCTTCCGCGACCGGTATTTGATGATATGCACTCATGAAGCCTATTTTGGATAAGATAGTTTTTCCTGCCAGCATATGAGAGAAATCATGGATGTGAGGGATGCGGCATCCATCGGGAACGGTAGCTCTATTGAGGACGCGATAATTATCACATGGTCTCAAATCATCAATCGACTTCTTGGGCACCATGTGGAGTGGAGAAGCTCATGGACTGAAGGATTGACGGATGATCCCAAAATTCATCATATGCTCGAACTCGTTCTTCGCTATCCGAAGCTTTTCTGGGTTGAGACGACGCGGATTAGCGTGAACGTTAACGATGTGATGTCTGATTTCTTGCTGAGCTCTGTCAGTGAACTAAGGGGGCCTATCGAGGACGAATAGGCCTTCAAATTGCCGGCGAAATGCGAACTTGAATTGGTCAAGTGGATGCCGACCGGAAGTTCGGAAGCGACGGCACTCACAGTATAGAGCTTAGTTTCGGAATCAACCAGTTTGCGGTGCCTCAAATCGACAGTAAGGCCGAAGTGCGTGAGAATCTCCGCTCCGATAATTGGTGACTGGGGGCCAGCCTGAAAAAAGATCCACTGCAAACGACACCGGAGACCGATGTCGAGTGTGAGTGAGCGTTGGCCGTAGGTGTTGATGGTAGTGTTATTGACAGCCTGCGATGAAAATTGCGAAGGCTTGAGGCAGTGGCGCCTAGGAGGCGGGATGACACTGATCCCAGCACCAGTATGGATCAGAAAACGGAGGCCGCTCGACTTGTCATCGATGTAAGAGAGGCCACTGGGTCGCGACTGGTCAGCTGCAGTCGTCGCCATTACTGGCTGGCGGGGTCGTTTAAGTGTTGAGAGGATTGTTGGAAAGTGCGCGGTGGAACGCATTTGCGTGCCCTTTAGCCGTAGATACGATGGTACCAGCACTGCGTCTGTGACCGTAGCTCACGTGACTGAGAACGACGGCGTTGGTATGATTGGCTTCGGGAGGAGTGGAGACTATTAATAGCGGTACACATTGTGCTGACTTGGGTACACAGGAGACGTGCCGTGTTCCTTAAGTCTTCGTAGTCGGCACGATGTGGGTCAGTTGGCGCTATAGAGAGGCCTGACGATGCTGTTGCCTGTCACGATGCGCAGGGGCAAGAGGACAAATCCAAATAAGGAGGGTTGCGATCAGAGTTAAGTGTGATTTCGGGGTCACAGTTGGTCACTCTACCGGCCTTGCCGTTGAAAGTCGATGTCTGCCGATTACCAGCGGATGACGCACCAACCGGATAACATTCGCCGATGTTGTCAGCTTGATTGGCAATTTCCTCTAAAGAAGTGTTTCTATCTAACATAGCCAAGAGCTGTTGCAAGGGAACTTTCAGTTTCAGTTTTTGTTTCAGTTTATTAAGGGAAATGTAAGCGAGCGCCTTTGAACTCCCTATTGGCTACAAATCTTCGGAGAAAAGCATTGCTAAGCGGGAAGGTGAAAAAGGGATTTTGTATGTACTCGAGGATAGCTGACAGATAGCAGAAAAAGAGTAATCATTAACGGTTACTTACTAATTGCAAATAGTATCAATACATATAACTTGGTGCCGAGTTACGTGAGTGGATGAGAGGCTGGTAGTTGGGAAGCTTGATACGTGTCAAGTCTTCACTTAAAGGAATTCACACAGGAGGAGACTGCAACATCGGTAGGCAGGGCATTGCACGCTGTAACCACTCTGTTACTGTGAAAGAACTTTCGTCCATTGATCCTTGCTTTCCCTGTGCGTAGTTTTAGGGGATGACCGCGCAATGTCGGCGTGTTAGCTTGAGTGAAATAATCAGTGGGATCTAAACAACAGCCTAGGCCGTTGATAATGCGAAATGCTAGCATAAGGTCACTACGTAATTGCCTGTAGGAAAGGGGAAACAGGCCGAGAGTTGACAGACTGGTTTCATAGGGCAGTGCTCCCAGACCTTTTGTCATTTTGTTCACCCGTCTCTAGACCTTCTCCTAGACGGTATAGTCCTCGGCAGTCCGAGGTCTCCACGTCTGTATGACGTATTATAGATGAGGCCGCACGTAGGTGCCAAATATTTGGGAAAAGCAGTCAGGGTCAAATCCCATAAAGGCTCACCTAATGAGTTGCAATGTAGCCGTAGCCGATTTAGCCACCTTCGCGCGTAGTGTAGTGTTGGTTTGAGTGAAGGTGTAATCCATACACCCAAGTCCTTCTGACTGTCAGTTTATTGCGTTGGGGTGCCGTATAGAATGTAAGTCCTGCGGCTGGAGGCTTTAAAGCTGCCTAGTTAAAGAAAGTTACACTTGCTTATATTGAAGGGTATAAGCCAGCGCTTCGATCAGTCTTCGAGCCTGTTCAAGTTTGCTTGCTGGTGTTCTGCGTCTGCCGCATTGTGAATAACTTCCCACAATTTTATGTCGTCGGCAAACATGATGGCATCACAGTCTAGGTCCTTGACGCAGTCAGTTATGAGAACGAGGAATAACGTGGGACCTAAAACTGAGCCCTGTGGGACGCCGCTCACCACGCTTACCTCTGAGGACTGTTGACGCCCAACCTTCGCTCTTTGGGGCCGTCCAGTCAAAAGGCTCTGGGTTTATACAAGAAGGCGTCCACGAATTCCAAAGTTGCGCAGTTTGTGCAAGAGACGTTGATGAGGAACGTTAGCAAAGGCCATTTTGCAGTCGATGTAGATGGCCTGCACCACATTGCCTTCATCGCGTGCCTTGGTCCAGCGTTCGAGCGTAAAGAGCAGATTCGTGAGGCAGGACCTACCACTTCGAAAGCTGTGTTGGTCAACGGAAAGGAAGTGGTGCTGCTCGAGGAACTGCATCAAGGACTTCTTAATGATCTTCTCCATGATTGTGCAACAGATGGAGGTAAGACTCACTAGCCTGTAGTTATTCGCAGACGCACGACTTCCACCCTTAAAAAGCCTAGTGATGGTAGCGGACTTCCACTCAGAGGGCAGGCATCCAGTAACAAATGACGTTTGGAGGATAAAGGCTAACGCCTTGGAAATTTCGGCAGCTAGCTCCTTCAGCAACCTGAACGTGAATGCATCAGGTTTAGTTACTCCTTCTGAACGATTGTTTCGGTGAAGAAGACGGTTTCGATGGTAGGTGTTTCTTCGTCTTCGCAAGTGGGTGAGAAAAAATCAGGTTCAATCGTCACGACGGACCGGAAGAACTGAGAGAGATGTTCAGCCTTATCCTTGTCATCGAAGATTTCCGTTCCCTCGGCCGTTCGCAGCAGTGGGATGGGATCTTTGTTTGGTGTGCTCTGTCTTATCTGGCCGCAAAGGACTTTGGAATTAACCATGGCACGGTTCAAAAGATCCTTTTCCAAAGGTTTTCCGATCTCTGGCAATGAGAATTTTGACCCCGATTTCTCTGTAACTTATGAGTGCTTAGGGATTCTGGCGCCCGGTCAGTCAGGGATCTTTCCCATAGCTTTCTCTTCTTGTTAACTTCTTTCTTCAAGGACGGAGTCAACCAGCGAGGTTTATTTGTTAGTCTTCTACGCACGATTGGGCAGTAGTTGGAGATGAGTTTGTAGACTAACTCTTGGAACTGACAACATACCTCTTCGACATCGCCGGAGAGAGTGGATGCCCAGTCGATAGGACTAAGATCCTTTTTCATCTGTTCAAAATCGCCGCGCTAATATTAGGTCGGGTATCAAGCGGTTGTGCAGGCAGGGAGAATAAGGTGTATTCCCACATGAGAACTACATGATCACTCTGACCCAACGGGGGAGGCAATTCACAACGTCGATGTTTCCAGACGACTTGGTGAACACAAGATCGAAGTACTTCATTTGTTGGCCCTCACGAACTCTCGTTGGAAACGTTACGTGTTGGATGCGAAGCAGATTGTCGGAGGTGCGCAGTAGCTGCTGGTCGAATGCGGCTTCAGAGCAGTCGTCTGAAGTCAAGCTCCAGTTTGTGTGAGGTGCATTAAAATCTCCAAAGATGAGAGTAGTCTGCCGCGTTGAAAATAATCTGAGCTCCTCCAGCATTTGGGCATCAGCGTCAGAGTAATTTCTCGGAGGACGATATAATGTCAAGATATCGAGGTTTGAGAGCCAGATGCCCTTACGGTCAACCATAATGCTTCCGTACTACATGTCAATTTGACAGTTTTTTCTGAAACGTAAAAACCATTCTAAACAAATGTTACTATGCCTTCAGCCCTTCTGTTTTCTCTGTCTCTGCGGAACAGCTGAACTCCACGGAGCATGCGCTCCCTATCATCAACTGTTCGGACAACCATGTTTCTGTTATTGAGACAACGTATGCGTGGAGGTCGAAGGTATGGATACGGAGTTCATCCAGTTTTGAAAGTACACCTTGCGCTTCAGTATACATAAATAGGAGTTTCAAGTTAATGCGAGATTTGTTTTCAACCCCGAAACAGGCTACTGGGGTATCTGTGCAGCCATTCGAATCGGCTTGATCCAGAGGGGAGCGGAAGGTCGTTTGACTATCTGGTCTTTGTAGATTGTCAAGTTTCTTTCTCCTTTGGTTTGGCGTGTTCTCGATTCTAGGACAGGTTCGCGGCGTTTCATTCTCTTGGCAACTTATCTAACCAGATTTGTCGGAAGATTGCGTCGTCCATATGGCGACCGGCGAGCAAAGAACGCATTTGCCGCATAAGCTGTGAGGGCGTTTGGTCACCGAGGTCCACTTGCATAAAAAACTCCCAAAGCATCCTGTTTTCCGATTTAGCCACAAGCTGGATCACAGCGTCCTCTAACTGAGTGTAAGGTTCATCGGCAGGAATCGGATCGAGGAGGTCCTCAACATCAACGGCGACATCTAGTGGAAGACTCTGCATCACGTATGAATATCGCGGGCATCTACTGGTGATACGGCTTGTCTAGAAGGCAGCCTTAGTTTGCCGAAACCATACGCTAGGGTTGCTCGGCGAAAATGGAGATAATTTAAAGGAGAAGGTGCTAACGTCTAAGACGTCTACTTTGGGTTCGGTATCGGTCATTTTAGATATGAGGGTGTGCAAATGTGCAAAAACGGGGTCACAACTTTTGTAGTGTAAACGACAATTAAAACTACAAAGAAAAACAGATAAAGCAAAAACTTAACTCCAGGTGGGGAATGCTGTGTTTCTTACAGACAAAATGATAGTAAAAATGGGGAAACTGAAAAAGTAAATAACTGTACCGACTCACGAAAACGACGCTTCCTCCAATATAAGTCGTCGTGGAATGGATGATCCGGATGAAGTCGGTTGCTGCAGCTTGTTGCTCGGGCGGATTCACGTCCGACGATTCATGTCCAAGAAATAAAAAAATGTTACGTGGGAATTAACATACAACGAGCAAGGTAAGAACCAGTGAACGGTTATTCAAACAACTGGATAGAAGAGTTCAGGTGTACAAGAAAGTTTCGAGTGATAAATCGAAAATGTATACAGACTTACACTAGATTAACTTTTATTTTCTTCCCAACGACTCCAAAAAAGGTCGTCGCGAATAAGTCTCCCTTTTGATTACTGTCATCATCACCGATCTACTGCACGCTCTTGAACTCTTTCATTAGGGAGATAGTCTCCCAATCTGCCTTGTTTACACTCATCTTTCACTCCGTGTATAGTATCATCTGTTCCGGTCTCTCATCAGAAGTCGGGTTTTTATGGTTCCTTAAAAATAATGCAGGTTTCGTGACGGACATTTGTTATGTCGCCAACTTTTCTCTCGCCATCCGCCCTCATCGACATCCTATCCTGACCACTGGAATGTCGCGGCTTCACTCAAGACATGACAAACCCAGCATCCCAGTGGTCATTTACTTTGAAACTGCTGACTCGTCGAACGCTTCGCCTAGGCAAAAACTGAACAAAGCCGTCAGGGTATATGGATAAGGCAAACGGTGAAGGCCGTGGTCATTTCATTTAATGAAGTTCGAATCCATGTTAGTTCTTCTCAACGCCGAGCAGGCGACCATTTCCATGGACCTCTAAGTTTTTCAATATCTCCAACTATAATTATATCACATTCACAGTGAACCTACCGTAAGCCTCTATATCATTTCGAGCAGGAATTCCTTCTCTTGAATTGAACGCCTGCAAAACATCGGGTTCCCTAAATCTCCTGCGATCTCGGTTCAGAGATGTTTTCCCTGCTTCGCCCACAGTTTGTCGTTAGTTAGCTGAACAGTTTGATTATCTGAATTCGTTGCGGGGCGACGTATTTACACCTCTTTAGTAAGCATTTGTATGTGTTCCCTGTTCTCCCTTCTGACATTGCATTGAACTAAAGTCCACAACGAATCCACGCGGAAAATTGTTTCAAAAATAAAGCCACTAAGATTGAGCGGTGACAACTTTCGTAACCGTGGTTTATTCAAAATCCGCGCAGGCATATCGATGACATACCGACGTGCAAAAAAGTGGAAATCACCACAGTAGTTCCTAATACCCACAATAGTTATTTAACTTAACTTATCTGTCCACTTTTTCGGGTTTGTTTTGTCCTTGCTCCTTTGCTCTTTCAATTCCGTCATCAGTTGTCTCATTCGTATTCTTTCTTTCGATTCGTCGATCCGCTGAAAATAACTTCGACATGCATACTTCGTACAGATGGCTCTCTTTAAGAGAGAAGTTGCGTTTGTTCACCTGCTGACAGACTGGTAGCTGAAGACTTTGGTCGGAAATTCAGACTTGGTGTTGGTTGAGCCCTCCCTACCCTATATGCTTCACAAACAGTAAGTGTGTAACCGTAGCTTAGTAAGACTTTAACATCCACTTGAAGGAGGCCTAGGTCGTTGTTAATTTCATTCCTGATAATTATTGACACTGATCACTAGTTTCTTTCAAGTACTTTGTTCTGTTTCTTATTGAACTGGGTCATCTTTGCTGTTACATCATATTGTAGGATATGGATGGGTCTACCCTGCGGAGAAAAGAATCATTACCCCAAGACTATTGATGCCGGTAAAATGCAAAGGAAGAAATAAGCCACGGGGTGGTGAGCGTGTTGGACGGTTAATCACAGCTACGTGGCGGTTGGCAGACGTTTAAGGCGTACAGAGACTAAGGCTTTCTAAATGAGTTTTTCGACTGACTGCATGTTAGTTTCCAGTCGAATCGTTCCACTACCTCCTGACGAAATAGTTACTGCGCTGACAGCGTTAAATGCGTCAAAACTGTAGTCATCTTTGCGTTTATAGTTGCTGTATCCAGTTGGTCAAAGTTTGGGATTCGCCACGCCGTCTTCGCAACTACTTCCACATTTGGCCACTGTTGACATTCCCTTTCCCCTTTTTGTAATCATCTGTTAATCGTGATCGGCGTTCTCTTAATTACCTAGTTTCTGTATTCTGACCTTGAGCTGGGAATTCGATTTGCCCGAAAAGTAGCAAAGGAACCTTTTGTATAGGAGATCCATTGTTGAGGTTTGTATGTTTTTTTATTATTACCGTATTCTATCAAGAGTATCGTATATACACTGAAATCTGTTTTGACTTATACGCGTCACTAGGCCAACAAAGAATTCTACAGTACTCAACATCGTACTATAAATTGGGGGAATTAAATTCATCAGATGTAGACGCGGTCGATGAAGAATGAATCGGACGGTACGGAACAGTCTCTCGGACTAGACAACCCAGGTGCCTTCGAAGGAAAATGAGAGCTGAAGAGAGACATCCAGTCCGGCTCTTGTAAGAACGTCTCTATAAGTAGTCGTTGTTCCAGTAAAACAGTCAAAGCCTTAAGAATAGCCGAAATAGAAGAGAGGCGATTTGAACGTTAGGCCGAACTCCAACAAACTGTTTTTGATGCTGAGAGAAGGACCGAGCTTGCCAGGATAGAAGTAGAGACCAACGAAGAGATGTCCGATGACGACCGTCAACCCGTGAATTCCGTCGCACATGTCTTGGGGTATTTGAAGCAATGCACATTGAATGAAATTTCTCCTGAAGTAAGTAATCACTGTCAACGTGAGAATGTTATGCCCAAAGCAAGTGCTAGGAGCCTGTAGTTTGACAGTTTAGAACTGGCCAAGGTTGAGCTTTCCGATTTGACGGAAACTCAATTCACTACTGGAAATGTATACGACAATTTGAAGTGTACGTGGAGAGCAAAGTTGAAGATGCTGGACAGAGGCTGCTGTACTAGGTTCACTATTGCAGAGGTGATGAGAGAGCGGCAATAGAAGATTGTGGCATGCTGCCCTCACCGTTGGCTTATTCAAGAGCACGGAAAATGTTGAGCAGCTTATTTGGCCAGCCACACGTAATGACTCGTGTCCTTCTGGATGGTGTCTTCAGACAGGCACGCCAAGTTAACCAGACCGCAAAGGCACTTTCAGATTTGTGCATAAAAATGGAACGTTGTGAAATAATGCCCACGCAAATGAACTACGTGTCTGACCTACAGTCGTTGAATGTCCTGGAGCGAATAGTGCGTTGTCTACCGTTTTTTGTGCAAAGCCAGTGGGCTGAAGTGACTGACAAAATATTTATGACTGGTAGGGATCCAGATGTTGCAAACCCTACGGAGTTTGTAAATACTCGACATAGGATAGCGGGAAGTCGTTTCGGACAAATATCTCGAGGTCGGATGTCAAGCGCCCTCAGCATCCCTTTGTCGCCACCGCCCAACACCAAAAACGTCAGAACCCTAACAATTTTGTCAGTTCGAGTGTCAAACCAGATCGACGACCATGCCACATATGTTCTAATGCGCCTGAAGTGGCAAATTGCCCGCGTTCACTTTCGATGGGTGTTGCAGATCGGTGGAATTGTCTGCGGGAACACAAAGCGTGTTTTGTTTGTCTCGGTAATACGCATTTTGCCAGGGTGTGCAGATCCAGAGAGCTTTGTTGTCAGTCCGGGAGCAAAAAAGACATCATATGCTTTTGCATGCTATGTCATCGGAAAATAATCAACGGATACTACAGGATGAAGTGCTTTGTGCCCTGACGCATCATCACGACCGGGAGTTATTCCTGTCAAGTTGGCAATTCCAACAGGAAAAGTTGAAACTTACGCATTTTTGGATAGTGGCTCGGGTGTCACTCTGATTAAACGAGAGCTTCTTTTCAGCAATGGAGTGTTCACGACGCCAACGAAATTGACAATAAACACCTTAAGTGGTTCAATCAAATGCAACTCGGAAGTCAGAATTCTAAGAGTACTGCCCATTAATGGAACCGCGTCAATTGAGATTGAGGGGGCTTTAGTGGTTGAAGACTTGCCACTCCGTGCAGAATCGTCAGTTAAAAGAATAGCCTCTTCATGGCCACACTTGAACGGTATAGTGTTCGACGTGCTTACTGATTGTGAGGTTGGAATACTAAATGGGAATGATATAGCGGAAGCTCATTGGGTACTTGACCAACGTCTAGGTGACAAAAGGGAACCATTCGCCGCGAAAAAAACTGTTGAGGTGGATGCTGCTAGGATCTTCATATGGCAGGCAAAAACAGAACGCTGTCTGTCACTGCACTGTTAATCAAAAAGAGGTGACGCAAAAAATTAAGAAGCTATACGACTCGGAGTTTCCGGACACTTAAACAAGGACTGTGAGTCACTCACTGGAGGATAAACGAGCACTGGCTATTGTGCAATCCCCCATCACAATCATAAAAGGACATTACAACTGTCACTCCCTTGGCAAAACGGTACGCTGAATTTACCGGACAATTTTCAGTTGGCGCCTAAACGACTAATCCATCTCAAGAGTAAGTTGGGTTGAGAGCCCGAATTACTTCGGAAATATAAGCAAACATTCCGTTCGCGCATGGAGAAGGGGTATATCGAGCGAGTTGACGATAACAAAGCGTTCTTAGGTACGAGACACTGGCACTTACCACA